CAAATGTGTGGCTAAAACAATAGAACTTGTTATAATAATGCAAATCATTGCGGCTTAAGATGACATTTACCGACACCGGAAGCACAGATTTGTAACCACGCCTTTATATGTATCAAGGTTTCTGTTGTGATCAGAACTGACCATATCACACGTCTGTTAACATTGGTTCCATCGTAAACTGCTCTTTCGCGGATTTTTGAGAGGATATCTTGGCGTGCCCTTGGCCTTTACTTGAATTTCTGATTCAAAAGGTATGTCCAATGCTAAGTCTGTACTAGGTAATTTTTCCAGTCGTTATTTTATTGCAGTTTTCAGCTGTTCCAAAAGTTCTTTTCCAACAAGAAAGTCGAACGTATTGATATATGCAATCTTGTACCCCGTTTAAATCACACCACTACATTTGTTTTAGTTTGTTTTTCGCTCAAAAGATTGCCAAATACCCTGCACATTAACTCACTTCTGGGTTTTCCTTTCCCATTTCTTTTACAAAGCAACTACAGTTTATAGACCTTTATAGACTTCTGTCGAAAGCACATGCCATTTACAAGTGAGCTAATGCTCTTTGCTTTAGTTTGAGACGAAACAGGCCAACAACAAACAAATGCCTCTTTGCTGTGTTACTTTGGACAAAACGAGAATCATGCGCTCTAAAAAAATAATTCTTTTCCGATCATCGCTTTACCAGCTTGTTAAACACATTATTCAGTTTGAGATTCGGTAGCTTTCTGGTTGGCTTGCATCTGCTTAAAAAAGGGAGAGCTTTATTTCACATCATTACTAACACCCCCTCTGGCATTTAAATTGAGGGCGAGGTATGCTCGAGTTTATACTCTAGTTTGGGTTCGGGTTCGAGTTGGAGACGGACTTCGAGTTACACTTCGAGTTGTGGTAACGTTTCCAGACACGGTCGAACCTGTAGTAAGAGGTAGGATGTAAAAACTCCGAAAGTTTTGTTCCCGTTAGTTGCTGTAATTTTCACCCCCATGATTAAGCGGTAACCACTGTTAGTCATTCGTGGTCAACCTTTGCCAACGACCTGTTTGTATTGTCTTCCATCCGTATGGAACGACCATTTAAACAGGAGCTACTCAATTATATCTGAGAATGATCTTTCAAGTAAAGTTGAATCCATTTTTATCTCAGAAAATTAATGTCTCAAAGTACGTTTCAGTGTTTGTTTTTGGATATTTTGTATTGTGGTTACCACCAGGCTTACCATCTCGACCTTAGTAATCTACGGTCCTCAACCATGGCCGTCATGGTCCTCAATTTAGTACAGTTTTTTTTTTCAGCCATACATTTTAGAAGTATCCAATCTTTATGACATGATATGGTTATGAATAAATTATTGAAATTATTTCTAAGGTAACGCGCGCATCCGGTCACTGTGTTGTTCAATATGATAGACATTTAGTAGACAAATTTCACAAGAATGATAGTGTTTCATTTCATTTCGCGAACAAGAGCCAATCATGTATTGTGATCTCCTCGTTTCTATCTACAAAAAATATCATTGAAAAGATGTAATTCATAACCGTGCTATCTTGCACGTTTTATATCTTTGAGCAGAGTAAATTTGGAATCGCGCAAAGAAGGAATTAGGTGTCTTAGATTTTCTGGGTCTGAGTTTTGATTTTTCAAGGTCTGAAGTATCTTGACAGCCTCCTTATTCTAATCCACAGTGAGAAGTAAGAATTATTATTACTTATTCAGTTCCCAGTGGGCCAATTTTTTTTTCTTCGACAGAAGTTCAACTTGATTTGTAGTTTGGAATCTAACTCAAAGTCGAATCCAAAATCGATGGTTCGCGCTTCATTTCGAGTAGCTTGTCCTTTCAAGGCTTTAGGGACAGAAAATGAGGTGGAAAGTGTGATTTAGGGGAGTAGTTTTCGTCTCTTAACTTAACATGCTCCGCCTGCCAACGGCTTCTTTAATGG